TTCTTTTTTCTTTTTTCTTTTTCGAGGAATTTTTTCGTTCACTTTTCTACGTTTATTTTTGGCTGCTTCAAAATTTTCGCAATAGAAGAAGATGAATGACGATCATAATTTTATTCTTTCTATCGATGATTATTTTACACTTTTCTTTTTACGAGTAAGAATATTTTATAAGGATTCCCGATGCATACGTGTAATAAGTTTTTTGTATTGCAATTTTGTTTTTATAATAATAAAATCAATGAGAGTTAAATACTGACTGAAGCATCCATTGTGTAAGAGAAAGAATACGGAAAAAAAGATGAGTTGGTACTTGGCGATAAATAAAAGTTATATACGATCATTTATTTATCTTCTTTCCGATTTATTTAGATAAATATTCAATAAATTAAATGGAAGAACACGTCGTAACTTATTCTTCCGATAATCCGATTTCTTCGTAGGGGATGACTGGGAATATAAAAAAGAAAAAAAAAATGAAACAAAAAAGAAAGAAATAAAATAGACGAAAGAGAGAGAAAGCAATACGAAGAAGAAACGTACACGTATTTCCTTTCGAAATTTTGTTCCGTTTCATCGCGACGACCTTACACTGTTTGCAGTTAAACAATATTACGTAGTAAAATTTATGGTCGCCCTTACTCGGCCTGCCACCCCCTACAATGCGTTTTCTTTCTCTCTCTCTCTCTCTCTCTCTCTCTATCTTTCTCGTTCGATGAGGGTGGCTGAAAGAGTATCAACGGCACGAGAAATACGGATGTTATGGGCAGTGACACCCCTTCGTGTACCCTGTCCGTGATCCACGGCTTAACGGATACCACCCTAAAACCTCCGTTCGCGCTCAACGTGCACGCTTAAAAAGAGGGAAACTCGCGGAACGAAAGGGTCGCGAAAAGAGCCGCGAAACGAGCCGTAGATTTCGTTTAAATTCTTTTAATCGAACTAACCGACCACCCAAAATCTTCGTCTCTTCTTCTTTTTATATCTTTCTATTATTAAAAAATAAAAAATCGTTCTCATCGATTGTATCGTTATTTTTATTACTAAACTTGAACATTGTGTTTTAGATTTACATTATATTAGGTATTAACTAATGAATATAAGTTATTGTTAGTTCGATAAATATTGTTGACCGGTTATTACGCGCAAACATTTAATGGGTTTCATAATAGCTGTATTAATAATTCAATTGAAATATTAAAAATGTCGGCGTACATTGTTAATATCCCAAATTTAATTATACATTCTCGAAAGACAATGAAATAATATTATAATGTGCAAATACGAGTATACTTTTTGATTGATTAATAAAAGTAAGGATAAATAATTGATTTTATTATTTAATATCCTCGCGCGTTTAAAGATTTAAACCTCTTCTACTAAATTCGAATTTAGCGAAAGATGGATGGTGGGTTGATGAAAACCGCGAATGTAATAACGCATTTTTTAGTTTTCTTGTTACAATGGGATTGCGTACGTAGATGCGTACGTTTATACATCGTGGCCTCGTAAAAAGCGAACAATATTCCTTCGACGGAAAGCCCAGGGGCGTCGTTATTCTGGACCATCGCATATCCGACGACTCTTCTCGTTTGCCATTCTCCCTGTTACGAAGAAAGAGAGAAAGAGAGAGAGAGTCTCCCTTTTTTTTACGCGTCTAATATCTCACCTCGGTGTTATAGGAATAAATGGAAGTAGAGAGAGAGAGAGAGAGAGGCCGTCAACGAACTTTATCAAACAAAATTCACTATCATCAGTATCACTTTGTTCCCCCTCCCTGTTTTCATTTTTTTACTCGAAATATTTCACCTTTATACGTTTTCAATTGCATTAAATATCACTTGATTATTTTTATCTAGAATTATTAACGTAAAAAGGTTTCATATTTTAGAAGGATCGAAATGGGGTTCGAATTTAATCGAAAAGAGGGTAAATCACGTTTACATGTGTTATTTCCTAAATTCTTGTTAATAGCCATTTAAAGGAGTCTGGCCGAGTCTACTACTAGATTGTATAGAGAGAGAGAGAAAGAGAGAGAGTAGAACAGAGTCATCTCTTTGTGCCCTTAATTTCGTTACAAAGGTCTCGTCTCTCCCTTCCGCGGGCGTCGTATCGTAACTCTGTTATCGAAGGGCATAACCAACCAAATACGACGTTTAATGTTCAGCTCCGCTCGAGAGAACCGCAAATGGCAAGTAGCCCTCGTCACCGTACTTATTCACCCTTTCTCTCTTTCACTAAATCCCCTCTTACTTTTTCTCTTACCCTTTAACCCTCCGACCGTACCTCTTTCTCCGTTTCGTTGCTTACGCACAGACGAAGGGCGACTTCTTTCTTTCTTCCCGTTTAAAAGTTACCGCCGTCGTTTCGTTGAAGTCACTTCTCGCGTCGCCACAAAGTACCAACCGCCCCATCCCACAGAAAGAGATTCTACCTGCTGCTCTTATATTTCCTACACCTGTTTTATTATTATTATTTAACCTGTCAGTACTTGACAAATTTATATCCTATTTTTTTTTATTTTTATTCAAATTTCTTTTCGACATATCGATTTATTACGAATAAATATATTCTCTCCGTACAAAAAATGACGAGAGAATTTTACATAACTTTATGAATTCATTTCAAGTTTAATTTCAAGTGGATGACGAAAGATACTATTTTTTTTATCTTACATGAATGTGCGTATTTTAAATGTAAACATTTACGATAAAGATTAGTTGTTCGGTAAATAAGTTACCGTTTTGTTCAATTTAATGAAAGAGATAAAAATGTCTAAATAAATATAGAAGTAATCGCGATTTTAATCGTATCACGAATAAAGAATCACATACAAAGGATAGACGCGAATATTCAACAGATGAAGAAAAAAGAGCACATTGCAAGATAGGCGTACCATCATCGTTTGTATCAAATCATTTTCACTTATTCATCATATCTTAGGTATCATAAATAATAAATATAAAAACGGAGAAAATTTGGGTGGGTATGCCGATATCTAGAAGTCAAGCGTGGATTCTTCATAAAGCAAGCAAGAGAGCGAGAGAGAGAAAGAGAGAGAAAGAAGCGCGCGCGGCAACAACGATAAGATAAAAAAGGATAGAGAAATACGAGGCGGTACTTGATAGGCGTGGCAGTCGCGGCGGGTCCGGTGGCACGAGCTTCGTTGGGATTGGACGGTCGGCGGGGTTGAGTCGAAGAGTGGGGGAAGGTCCGGCGCGCGTTCTGCCGAGGCGGCGCGAGACAGTTGCCGAGTGCGAGCGAACGAACNACGAATGAGCGAGGGAGTGAAAGAGAAAGAGAGAGAGAGCGAGAGAGTGAGTGAAGGAGAGTGTAGAGAGAGAGAGAGAGAGAGAGAAGGAAGGAGGGTTGGGTGTCGAAGAGTGGGGGAAGGTCCGGCGCGCGTTCTGCCGAGGCGGCGCGAGACAGTTGCCGAGTGCGAGCGAACGAACACGAACGAGTTAACACATACTATAGCGAGAGAAAACGAGACAACGAATGAGCGAGGGAGTGAAAGAGAAAGAGAGAGAGAGCGAGAGAGTGAGTGAAGGAGAGTGTAGAGAGAGAGAGAGAGAGAGAGAAGGAAGGAAGGAACGAACGAAGGAACGAAGGAACGAACGAACGAAGGAACGAACGAACGAGTCGTGGCTGGCTGGCTTGGCTTGGCTGGCTTGGCTAGCTGGCTGGCTGGCTGGCGGGCGCTGTTGCCGTCTCTACGCGTCGTTCGCGCTCGGCCGTGTTCGCCGCGAGTGCCGCCGCTTGCGCCTTCAGTCGCGACGCGCTCGTCACGGGGTGCAGATCGTCGTCGTGTACGCCCTGTCTCGTCGCCGTCGCTCTCTCGTGCGCCACGCTTTTTTCCCCGTTTTAAGCCCGTTCTCACGCGGTCGGCCGCGTTCCCTCGTGTGCGCGCGCGCACTTATACACACATCTTTATATATATATATATGTATGTATATATATATAACACGCAACGCGTAAACACGGTCTTTCGTTTTAAAGGAAAAGTCTACAGTCTCGTGTCGTTATTATTAATATTATTATTATTATTATTATTATTCATATAATTATTATATATTTTGTCGTAATTATTATTAATTATTAATAACATTACGATATTATTATTATTTTGCATTACGTTTGCGTTACAAGATCATCTTCTCTGTATTAAAACGCTAAATCGTACGTACGCGTGAAATATTATTGTCACGCCGGTAATAAAAAAAACAACCGCGTGTGTGTCCGCAAAAAATCTCGCGCCCTTTTTTCTCTTGACCAACCGTATACCCCCCACCCCCCGTTCTATTCTCCCCTCGGACCATCGTTTTCGCGGAATTTATTTGTTTTCTCGCCGGTGGTGCGTGTTCTACTGCTAGTGGTGGGTGATGATTGGTGAATGAACGAAATTGTTAAGAGAAAGATAAATATAGATCGTTGACGAGAATGCACGCGAGAAAACGTGTTCGATAATTTTGAAGGACAAGGACAAGAAGAAGAGAAGGAGGAGTGTGTAGGACGTGGGTGGTGTAGGTTGTTAGAATTGGATAGAACTGTTGAAGTACGATCAAGTGTCAAAGGGTGGGGAGGGGGGGTTGACAAGRAAAGAGAAGACGATGTTCGGAAAAAATTTATCTCTGGAGGAGCAAAACTATCGGGTCCTCCGTTGAAGAGGGGGAGGAACGGAGGCACGCGTGTCCGACACGAGGCCGGCACGAGACGCGCGAACAACCGGGCCGCGCGCGCGCGCGCGTCTCACCCCCAATAGAGATAGTCGTCATCGTTGCTTGTTTCTCCGTATACGATACTACGTGTTGCAGATGCGGGCTCGCTGATCGTGACGGCTTTGTTAGAATTTTTGGAGGACGTTGGAAACGAGGGGAAGAAGAAGGAGAAGAAGAGGAGGAGGAGGAAGAGGAAGAGGAGAGAGGAGGAAGAGGAAGAAGAGGAAGAGAAGTGGAGCGAAAGAAGAAGGTGGAGGAAGAAGAAGAAGAAGAAAGAAGAAGAAGGAGTAGGAGGAAGAGGAGGGGGAGGAGAAGGGGGAGAAGAAGAAGGTGGAATAGTAGAATTAATTTTTGTAATCAAGAATGACGCAACAAAGTGGTGCTGGGTCTCCCCAGCAGTTCTGCCTAAGGTGGAACAATTATCAGACTAATTTGACGAACGTGTTCGATCAGCTGTTACAGAGCGAAAGTTTTGTCGACGTGACGCTCGCTTGCGACGGACACAGCGTGAAAGCGCACAAAATGGTACTGTCTGCGTGTAGTCCTTATTTTCAAGCCCTATTCTTTGAAAATCCGTGCCAGCATCCTATCGTTATAATGAAGGATATCAAGTGGCCCGAGTTAAAGGCCGCCGTTGAATTCATGTACAAAGGAGAGATCAACGTGTCGCAGGAACAAATCGGGCCGTTGTTAAAGGTAGCCGAAAATTTAAAAATACGCGGCTTGGCGGATGTTAACAGTGAACAAGAATTAACGTCGAGGCCGAGTTTGGTCGAGGAAGCGACGAGCGCTGCTGCCCTTCATAGGAAAAAACGACGTCGAATATCCGGGGAAAGATCGCCACCGACCGGTAACAGTCCCGATCACACGGGTTCGGCCGGTAGCACCACGGGTGGAACGGGTAGCATGATCGACGATCAAGAGCCGACCGGTCCAGCCGGCATGGTCATTCCTGAAGTTCATGCTCTCATACCGAACAGCTCGACCCCGCGTTCTCTCGGCTCGCCAAGCACGCCGAGTGTTTCGGTGACACCGCAGATCAACCTTCAAGAATTACCGGTCTCCTTGCCTCTACCACCACCCCCACCGCCGCCACCGCAGGGACAGCAAGTCTCGCACCCCATGCCCGCTCACCACGTGCCCGGCCACGTGACTTCTGGACCGCATCCCTCCGTCAACCACCTAACCCATAGTCAACAACTAGCCGTTCAACAGCAACAACAACAGCAACATTTGCAGCAGGTAGTACAGTCCAATCAACCCGGCGACGACCTCGAGATCAAGCCTGGCATCGCTGAGATGATTCGCGAGGAGGAAAGGGTGAGTCACTATTTCCATTTCTATTTCTCTTATTCGTTTTTTTACATTTTCGCTCTTACACGAAACCCCTAATTGGAGATAGGAACCCTTTTTAACGATAGGAAAAAAAAAAGATTCTTTTCCAATTTTACGTCATTTATCGAAAACTTTTGTACGGGCCGTGTGTCGTGTTATAAAGGAAAAGGAATAGAACAGAATCGTAGGTGAAGAGAAATTTGCTTCGCGAACGAAGTCGTGGCGAGGCGAGGCGCAAACTTTCGAACGCATGAGGGTGGCTCAGAGGGAGAAGAAGGAGGAGGGTGTCCAATTAACCGGCGATCTGCTTCGGTGGTGTGCACTAATTGAGAGTATCAATGAACGTCAATGAGCATAGTCAATATTTGGTCGGAGCATCCGGTCGTTTTGTAACGTTCTTTTTGTTATAAAACGGATGACAAATATTGACTACGTACGTTCATTCGTTCGTTCGCTCGCTCACTCGCTCGCTGGCGCACACTCGCGCGCAAGTACACCGCGTAAATACTTTCGTACTCACTCGATGTATATACCTGTAAAAGTATATATATATATATACATTAATATATATATAT